CTGTCTTGGAAAATCACATTTTGTTATATTGAAAATTGATCCAGTCCAATCCACTTGGAACATGACAGGTTCCAAAGTGCTGCACAGACAAATTAATACAATAAAAGACAGTAAAGCATGAATAGAAACAATAAATTAAAGTGTTAAAATGCACAAAGCTAAAAATGAATTGAATAAATGTAGTTAATATGATGAAGTGAGATTCAGGAGCAGGACCAGGCCTCAGCCGCCCTCTCCTCTCACCAGCGAACCACAACTCACCTCAATCACGCCTCCAATTTCCCAGAAGCCTATATGTAGCAGCCTTTCCCATCATCCCAGTTTGTCTCGGCGAATTCCACCCCACCCTCCCACCCCCTATTTTTGTCTTTCAGTCATAAGACGCCTACAGGCAGGGTCCCGTTCCAGCTGGGCCAACTGAAGATTGAGATGGAGCCCCCACCCATAGTCTCAGCCAGCCATCTCTGCCTCGCTTCATACATTATCAGTAAACTTCTTCGCACTATGTCATTGTTGGTGTGGTCCTAGCTAATGAAATAAATAATAAAATAAAAGACACAGTGGACCAAAACAAAACCCTTCAGCGCTGGAGCTCTGCGACACTTGATCTGTAACTGTGTTTTTATGTGTGTTTATTGTGTCCAGTGTGGATGAATGAAACGTGAAAAGTGGGACGAGCTTCTCAAATCTGCAGAACTAATTTACCTACATGTACCAATAAAGCAACCTAACAGAAAACACTCTGTTCCACCTTATGATGTCATGTGGTAATACAGGAAGTGCTCCAATGTGTTTTTAAAAGAGAATCGTTTGGATTATTTCAGCCATTTCTACTAAACAAAAGGAGCTGTTCATTTAAAAACAACCACTACATGACATCACAAAGTGGAAAAGAGCATTTGGAGATTTGGAGATGTGGACAGACTCATAATAAAGAGTGTGTGAATGAAACAAAACACAACTCCAGGTGTGTTTTTGAGGAAGCAACAACATTAGAACGTGACTTAAAGCTCACAAGAGTTAATTTTGCGTAATATAGGAACTTTAAATGATCAAATCTTTGCTGAAAAATGCGTAATATGCCATGTGTGACCTTAATTTGAATCTTGTGTGTCCGTGGTTCTCAGAATTAGGGAAATATAGAACCGTTGCCATAGCGATTAACGATTCAGAACAGAATACTTGATCTTTTCAGTGGGAAAATGTGTGAACAGGAAGATGAATAGACACGCACACAGACACACACAGACACACACAGACACACAGAGAAGTCAGTGTTGAGACTCTGTTGGAGCTGAGGTCAGAGGTCATCAGATCCACAGCGGAACATGGAGCAGATCTGATCACGGCAAAAACGATGCCGTCTCTGAGAACACGAGGACAGACGTGCGTGTGTGTGTGTGTGGCGCGGGGATGACAGGCTGGACACAATGCGCCCCAGTGTCCAGTCTGAGCTACTGATACTTTCCCATTCCTTGGGGGAGTGATGCTAACTGTAAGCACTGCTCTGTCTGAAGCTCTGTTACTCAAATGACTTCATCTTTTAATTTTATTTTTACACAATCTGACCACAAAGAAGTGACTTATCTGCACGCCAACAGGTGAGCTGGTTTGTGAGCATTAGCATTAAGTCGGGCCTACACTGCACGATTTTTTACCCTTTTTTTGAGACGATTTTTCACTCGTTCGACTGTTTTGGGGATCGGGCCGAGTTTTGGCTTCACTGTGTGTCATGCTTCGTGTAGTAAACATGGGAAAGAAACTGATTAATACCTCACGACCAGCTCCCGATCAATATTCGTAGGTCGCAAGAAAACCAAACTTGCCTCTCGTGAGGGTTTTGCTCTGTTGAAGTCAATCCACGAGCCGATTTGCCAGAATACACTGCGGACACAGAAGCAGAAGCAGGATATGAGGTTGTGGAGGACGATGGCGCCGGCGACTGTTTTGGACACAGGACATGGAGGCGCAGCTAATCGAGCAACACAGAACACAAGTTTGGGGAAAAACTTGATGCTACTGACCTCCAGGTCCTTCTGAAGAAATGACAACCTGTACTGCCCACGTCTACGCGGACATTTCTTTGACCAGATTCGTCGCCTCTTCTTTTTGGGCTCGTCTGCGCAGAGAATGGCACAAATTGCCAAGGCAGCGCGTCTGTTTTTTGCCTGGATCAGCATTGTGTCTGTGGTTTTCTAATTCCGTGGTTTTCTACTTCCAGAACAACAACTCCGGTCGTTATGTGACAGTACAGTGTGCGCGGGCAGGTCACATCCGTGCATCAGTGTGAGAACATGATTCGTGAGCTGTGAACTTTTAAACTCTGCGATTTGGTCGTACAGATTAAGCTGGGGCTGAGTGAAATATCGCACAGTGTACGCCCGGCATTAGTCAACAGTTTTTTATTAACCGCAATTTTCAGATTATAAGGTGCAGTATCAATAATGTTGAATTGCCACGTTTATTTTCATACATAAGGTGCTTCGGATTATAAGGAGGATTAAGGGAAACAAAACAAACTTTATTCAACTCATTCACAAAAACTCTCAACACTGTTCAGTTGTAACACATAAAACACAAAACAATACACTCACTTTTTCAGTTCAGTTTTCCTCTTCCACAAATCCATCAAATTCTTCATCTTCAGTTTATAATAGTTAATCAGTAAACAGTCTGGTGATTTCGGTGTCGAGCCTGGATCCTTCTGGTCATTATTCGAGTCAGTCTCATCGCTGTTACTTCGCTGTTCAGTGATTCGGACCTTAGTGAAGCTCGGACGACACTTGAGACTGATCCTTCGCCCAGGCGTCCACGATCCGTCGGCAGATCGTGGTGTAAGTCGCCCGGTGTCGCCTCCTTGTTTTGGTGAATGTGTAATACTCCGCGAGGCTCCTCACTACAGCAGCCGTAATGCTCTGACAATCCACCAAGGACTGTGGCTTCGTAGTTTACCAAAGTCGTACTAAAACAGTTTGACAGATTTTTGAGCGCCGTGTAACAGATAAAATCAGTTCAAGCTCACTAAACACAACCAGAATTAATAAATAAGACGGACTGTCAGTTTACGAGAAAATGAAATGATTTTAAAGGTTGTATGGAGGATTTTTTTTTTTTTTTTGTTTCAAATTGTCAGTGAAAGTTTAAAATACCGTTACAGAGACGTAGCAGCCTTGTAATTATGATGACCAAAAAATAATAATAATAATGAAAATGTACCAACTGTGGATGTAGTGAGGCCAGATAATCATCAGCCAATGGAAAACAAGGCTCTCTCATTTTCTGTTGGCTGTTGGGTTGTCAATAAAACTCCCTATGTTTCTAGTGTAAGTGACTCGCCGGCGCGTGGGGATTATGTGGTTTATGCAACAGTTATTAGAGTTTTTTTAAAAATTGTAGCTTCCTTGCAGTTTCGCACAAAGTTTGTTGTGATGTCGGACGAGAATCCATGACTAATTTGCCGCAAAAGAAAGTCAGTTTTTGAGGTTGCTGAAAGAAGAAGAGAAGGAGAAAAGGAGCGAAGACAAACTGAGGTGATTCTTGGAAATCTCTTCCAGCGATTGCGCGACTGAAGCAGACGAAGGGTCTAAAAACTGACGCGTCGGTCGATAAATGACTTCTAGACAGGTCACTTCAACAGTAATTCTGAACACGCACTGGCTGTAAACAAACGTGATTTCTAGAGTAAAGAGGCGGGAGGAGGTGTTTCTACTGAGGAGCTGTGGAGGAGGAAGGTGGTGTCACGCATGAACAACATTTGAAAAAAGGACTGTCGCTGTATTTCTTTTCCTTTAAAAAATCCTCTATACAACCTTTAAGTTCGCCTTATAGACCAAAAATACAGTAGTTACTCTGACCGTTTTAGTTAGTCAGTTTATTTAATGAGACAGGGACAATGTACAATATATATTAACCTTAACAGGAGAGATGTTCGTTCCAGGTTGTAGCATCAGTGCTCATTTCCACCTGTCGTCTCTGGACAGGTTCATTGATTGATATTTAACTAACCTTATTCATCAGCTGTTCTTCTTGGAGCATGTTTTGGGTTGATGGGTTAAACTGGAGTGTCCGGACGAAACCCACCCACACACGGGGCGAAACGTGCAAACTCCCCAGGGATCGAACCTTTTTTTTTTTTATTCCTTACTGTCTTTTAGTTTATAGTAGTTTATAATTGGCTTAGGGTGAGCAGATTTTCAAAATAACAACTCTGGTTTGTGGCGGTTGGTAATAATAAAACTGTAATTAAGGAAAACTGTTCTGCACTCTGCTCCAATGTGAGTTAGTACAGTCACATTTTCTTTGTGTTTTGGTCGTTTTTTAAGCAGCTTTTCTGTATTTTACCAAAACTAATGACAATGTATGTCTCTCTTTACCGTTATCAGGGATCAGACTGGGCAAAAATAGTGACACCTGAGACATTTCTGGTATAAAACTGGGACAAATCACTGGTTTTGGATACATCTGCAGGGACAGGGGACACAGGGCTTAAAAGTGGGACTGTCTCGGGTAAACAGGGACGTCTGGTCACACTAAGTTCACTTGTCTTGTCTTTCTGTGTGTGTTTGGGTGTGTTCTGACATGTTTGATGCAAAAAAAAAAAAAAAAATACATTGAAAGTCACCAAACAAACCCTTCTAAACAGAACCATGAACGCTCGGACTGATCACAGGCTCCTGAAAATGTGCTCTTTAAATCCATTTTGTATTTTTTCTTGAGTTTTCAGACGATCTAAACAGTGACAGTGTTGCTCATGTGTGCATCATGTCACCATGGTAACTGCTGAACATTCCACTATTAGAGAAGCATGTAGCACACCTCCAGCGTGATGTGTTTTGAAAATACTATGCGTTGACATCATGCTGGGGGTGTTCTACATGTGAGTGAGTGGTTCCTTGATGTAAAACACTTTGGGGCTTAAAGGTGGAAAAGCGCTGTACAAAAATGATTCCTACCGTGATTTCTTCCCTAACGTCTCTCCTCGTGTCCTCGTGCTTTTGCAGCCGGAGTTCTCGGGAGCAGCGGTTCTACACGAGGCCCGCAGGGAGCAGGTGGCAGAGACGTGCAGACTCCACAGCGCCTCCAGCAGGAAGAGGAGAGTGCTGACCCCGGGGGACCTCAAACATCTGGTGGTGGACGAGGAGCACGAGCTGATCTACTGCTACGTCCCCAAAGTGGCCTGCACCAACTGGAAACGCGTCATGATGGTTCTGACGGGGCAGGGCAAATACAGGTGAGTGAGAAGAGGAAGAGGAGGAGACACTTGTACAGTTTTATCTGAGGACACAGAGAAGTCAAGCTTAGCAGCGGTTCAGTTGGTAGAGCGTTTATCTACTGATCCCAAGGTTGACGGTTCAAATACCACTCACAGCATAAAAACATCACTGGTTCCATTGTCATTTCCAAACACTGAAGTCACCTCGCCCCAGTGTCTGTGTGCTCTGGCGTGTGAATGTGACTGGTTCTTTCATGTAAACACTTTGAGCCTTGAAGGTGGAAAATCGCTGTAGAAAAATGTGACCAATGATTACAGATGCCATGATTTTTGATATAATATTGAATTGTTTGATACTGGTGACACGATTTGATTCACGTGTTTGGTCGATACGCACATGTGCCAACGTGATGCTGTGTTGTCATTTATTTTGGTCTGAAAGGGAAACAGTTATGGCAGCGTCCTCCTCAGATGCAGCAGAAAACAGCTCCATATGGACTTACAGCTGAAATCTTCTAACAGAGGAGGGTTTGATATAGATAGACCCGGGGATGACAAAGATATTCACTTTTAAATATGTTAGAATCGCTTTTGGCTTTAATCAGACACGCTCATATACACACTGGTGATGCGGCTCTTGATATGTGCCATCTTTTTCTCAGACTCATAAGTTTTACTCAGAAAACAGTCTTTTGAGACATTTCTATGTAATAAAACATAGTTTGAGTGTCCACAAAGAGAATGGGAGAGCACAGTGTGTCTGTAAGAGCACAGACTGTAGGGGACAGTGTGGGAGGAGAGACTGTCTGTCTCTGCTGCTGCTGGAGACGAGGCAGAGCAAAGCAGCACCGACACACGAGCCTGTGTGACGCAGCGAGACGAGAGACACACTCGGGGAAAAGAAACCATCAAATCATCATTAGAGAGTCATAAGAGTCGACTGGTTTATTATTATAAAATATAAAACAGCCTGAGAAACTCTGTTCTTATTTTCACTGAATAAAAATGGTGTAAATCACTGAACCAAATGAACTAAAACACTTCACATATAAACTACAGGGGTCCTGGCCCCAACTCTAATCTGATTGGCCCCTGAATGCCGCTGTTTTGTCAAGCAACTGGCAAGAAGAACAACCGGAGGATTCATTGATCACTGATGCATTTCACCCCCAAACTATTGGTGGCAGTAGAACTATTGCATCAATACAAGTTAATGGAAGAAGAAACAGTCCTGTGGAGAGCTTTTTACTGTCTGTGCTCGTATTTGCACCCTACTGAATGAATCATTTGTCTGCTTAGATGTTCCTGTACTTGACTCCATATTGTAACATGTGGCCCATTAATGGCCCCTGTTTCAGAAAAATCCTAGAACCTCCCCTGAGTTGTACTGTAATGTACTGAGTGTAATGTATGTATTGTTTCATGAATATCATGTTATTATACTGTATTATACGAAATCGATATTAACACAAAATATGTATCAAGAAGCAAAAAGACGCCTGTATCGAAATATGTATCAAATCATGGGAAAAGTTCATTGCATCTTTACCATTTACCACTAAATTTGACATGAAAACCTTACATTTGTTTCGTTGAAGGAAACAAAGTCAAATGATGTTAGTTTATGTCAGATCTAACCTTCTCTTTCTCTGTCTGCAGTGACCCGATGGAGATACCGTCAAACGAAGCTCACGTTCCGTCCAATCTGAAGACTTTAAACCAGTACAGCATCGCCGACATCAACCACCGCCTCAAGACCTACCTCAAGTTCCTCTTCGTCCGAGAACCTTTTGAACGCCTGGTCTCCGCCTACCGCAACAAATTCACCCTCAAGTACAACTCCTCCTTCCACAAACGCTTCGGAACCCGGATCGTACGGCGCTATCGCAAAAACGCCACCGTGGAAGCTCTGACCACCGGCGACGATGTCAAGTTCAGGGAGTTCGCCGAGTATCTGGTGGATCCCGCCACGCAGCGAGACGGCCCCCTGAACGAGCACTGGCAGACGGTGTACCAGCTGTGCCACCCCTGCCACATCCACTACGATCTGGTGGGAAAGTACGAAACCTTGGAGGAAGACGCTAACTACATCCTGCGGTTAATCGGAATGGGGAACGCGCTGAGATTCCCGAGCTACGCTAAGTCGACTCGCACGACGGACGCGATGACGGCGCAGTTTTTTAGCAATATTAGCAGCCAACAGCAAGTGCAGCTTTACCAACTTTACAAACTGGACTTTTTAATGTTTAACTACACCACGCCCAGTTATCTCAAGATCGACTAGCGCTTAGCATCGTTTTAAAATAGTCAGAACTGCTGTCTTTAATTTTCTTGTCTTTTTAGCGCAAGAAATATGATGTCGAATCCAATCTCTAGGTGACTTTCAGAGCACCGATTTTGATTGTGGAAAATCTTTTGGATTTTCTGGCTGAAGCAGGTCTTCATTGCGTTTCAACGTGGGGATGTATGCAACGAGAATGAACTTTCAACTTTCTCTCGCAATTTTTACCCCAAATATTTAAACACAAACTGCAAAATAACGATCAGACTAGCACGCGCCCTGACCCCAACGCTGGCTTTCAACACGTTTTTTTTCCCATTTGAAGAACACTGCAAATTGTAAACGACACTTGGTTGGCCGTCTCGGTTGCGCTCATCTTCACTCGCGTACGTTTGGGACTCGTCTTAAAGGAACAGAGCGCGGAGTTAAGTCTGTAACGCGATGTAATGGGGGGGGGGGGTTTGCTGTATTTGTCGATCTAGAGTCACTGGATATTTGTCGCCTGGCAGCACCGAGCGTCGTTAACGCGGCGGCCATGCTGGAGTGGTCAGAAACAGCACAATGTGGATGTGATGGACTTGCGTTGTGCTCTGTGGGGTCGGGTCAAATGTTCCATCAGTTTGTACAGGGTCCTCATGTGTCATATCTTAAACCAGGGCTCGGCCTTAACTCAGATTTTGGTCCATTTTGGCTGAACTTGTTTTGTTTTGTTTAAGGCGAACGATTCAGATTTGAAACGAGAGTTGTGTTTTGTTTCAATCACACGTTTGAGTAAATCTTTATTATGATTCTGTCTACGTCTCCAAAGCTCCAAATGCTCTTTTCCACCTTGTAATGTCATGAAGCTGTAGTTTTCAAGTGAACAGCTCCTTTTACTTTTTGTTTAGTAGAGATTACTGATTTCAGAGCTTTCAGTAGAAACATAAAGGCACTAACCCAGTAAAATCCAGTCATATTTGATGTTTTTTTTTTTTTTAACGCCGTTCATAATCACCTACAGAACATGAACACGTGAACCAAGACTGAACCAGGACTTAAACAGGACTAAAACAGAACTAAACCAGGACTAATCTTGGACTTGAGAGAGAGAGTCAGGACCCCGAGCCCGTGGAGTCAGGTACCCGCAAAGTATGATCGGGTGACGGCTGAGCTACACGGGCCTGTCCAGACACTCAGTTCTGGTTTAGTTCTGGTTTAGTCCTGGTTTATACCTGGTTTAGTTTAGTCCTGGTTTAGGCCTGGTTTAATCCTGGTTTAGTTCTGGTTCAGATCTGGTTTAGTCCTGGTTTAGACCTGCTTTAGACCTGGCTTAGACCTGGTTTAGTCTTGGTTCAGATTTGGCTTAGACCAGGTTTACACCTGGTTTAGTCCTGGTTTAGTCCTGGTTTAGTCCTGGTTTAGTCCTGGTTTAGTCCTGGTTCAGATCTGGTTTAGTCCTGGTTTAGACCTGGTTTAGTCCTGGTTCAGATCTGGCTTAGACCTGGTTTACACCTGTTTCAGTCCTGGTTTAGTCCTGGTTCAGGTCTCTATAGGACAGTAGTGCAGATTTCATGAGTCTGTGCAGTTTGTTTTCTTCATTGTTCTGGTTTGACATTTAAGTTGTAGCTGTTTTATTTTTGTTATTTGTTTTATATCTCACGTCGGGAGAAGTGTGTGGACGGTGTACCCCCATGTACCACGCCCACTACACCTCTGGAATCACCCAAATGATTCTAATGAAGCTGTGTGGAGTTTACAAACACAGTGGAGCACTTCCTGTTTTACAACATGACATCACAAGGTGGAACAGAGTGTTTTTTTGTTTTGCGAAAATCACTAAATGTGCAGGTTTGTGTGTTAAACATGTGTGAATGAAACAAAACACAACTCCAGGTCTGTGTTTGTGATGAGGAAATATGAGCTGTTGAAGAGCAGAAATTTGTTTTTATCATTCAAACGCAAAAAAAAAAAAAAAAAAAAGTGAAGCCACAGATATTTACTCTACAATCACACCTCCATTTTCAAGCTTTTATTTCCTGCCAACATCTCAGAGAAGTCAATTTTTTAACACTGAATTTAAATCAGTTGAATTTGCATAAACTTTTTCTGTCTTTTTTTTTTTCAAATTTGCATAAAGTTGAGTTAAAGCCGAGCCCTGAGACTGCGCAGAGCTTTCCTCAGACTTCAGGCTTACGTTTAATTTAATTGTAATGTTTAATATTATCATTGTTTTATGAATCGTTGCTGCAAGCGGCAATCCTGGAGTTTATTTAAGAGGCTTCGTTCGTGGGAGGAGAGAGATGCTGTGTTTTTGGAGACCTGCTGTTACTTCTGTCCGTAGACTCGCATACGGCTCCACCCACTCTGAGTCCGCTCCGTTGGCAAGGGCTGCGGTCGGCTGAAGGCGCGTGCTGACGAGCGACTGGTTGATTCAAAAGGGGGCGTGGCAAAAGCTTTCAAAACTCTTTTGTGTCTGTGTATATCTGAGCCAAACTGCACTCACCTGCAGGGGGCGCTCATCTAAAACAACTATTCATGCCGGAGAAAAAGGACGAGGAAACAGGGTATTGATAAAACGACAGATGAAACTTGTGAGTCATGAGTTAAATCTGACTTGTTACAGAGAAATACCAAAAAATGTTCAGCTCAACTCTCTTCTTCTCGTGTCGTTCCCGAGAAATCGTTGTCTAACTTTTGATTGATTACGGCCTTTCTGTTTATACGGAAGCTGAGAGGGGTCACAACAAACGCAAACACCGCGACAAATACAAATGCGACAACACAACAAAACCCTCAACAAACTAAAAAAAGCCTCAACAAACTAAAAAAAGCCACAACACACTAAAAAAGCCACAACGTAAATGACCGCGGGGCTCTATTTTAATGCAAACGCAACAAATACAAACGCCACAACACAAATGCTGCAACACATTAAAAAGTCACAACACATTAAAAAGCCACAACGGAAGTAATCGCGGGACTTTATTTTCTGACGGACTGATCAAGCGGCAATGTGAAAAGTAAAGGAACGGAGAAGTTGGAAAAGTAAGTAAAAGTAATTTATTGTTTTATCATTATTTGTTTCACATTGTAGTTCTTCTTCTTCACTTGCCGCTTGATCGGTCCATCTGAAAATAAAGTCCCGCGATCACTTGGCTTTTTAATGTGTTGTGGTTTTTTAATGTGTTGCGGCATTTGCGTTTGTGTTGTGGCATTTGTATTTTTTAATGCAAACGTCGCAACATAGAGTCCCACCGTCATTTCCATTGTGGCATTTTTTGGTGTGTTGTGGCTTTTTTTGGTGTGTTGTGGCTTTTTTTGGTGTGTTGTGGCTTTTTTTGGTGTGTTGTGGCTTTTTGTTGTGTTGTCGCATTTGTATTTGTTGTGGCGTTTGCGTTTGTTGTGACCCCTCTCAGCTTCCGTATGTTTACAACCATTTTGCCTTTATATTCTGTTAAAATCCATTACGATTCAGGAGGGTGTACAGCGCAGACTGTCTAAAGAAGCAGACAGTGAGTGTGACATCGCCACAGCGTTCAGCTCCAGTCAAATGAAGCTCATTGAGGCTGCGGTTAAAGGGGCTACTCTGAAGACAGAAGCCCATAGAATGTATCATACCGCGCTTTTCTAGACAATCAAAAACACTTTACAGAGCATTATTCATTCACTCCATATTCAGTGATGGTAAACTATTATTGTAGCCACAGCTGCCCCGCCGCAGACTGATAGAAGTGAGGCTTCCAATCTGCACCATCGGCCCCTCCGACCTCCACCGACACTAGGGCTGTGCAAAAATATCGTAATATCAATATATCATATAGGCGAGTTTGAGCTGACGTCATAGTTATTAAAAGCCCCTGTTGCATGCTGGGAAATATTTTAGTCGGAGGCAAGAAACAGGATAGCGTCAAACACAGTGCGTAACCTTGTGTATTTATCCCCGATAATGGTACATTTCTGCTGCATTATCGGATGCACAAATAGAAGCACGGAAGAAGGAAAATGTCTATTCTTAGTGAAAAGAACCACTAACGGTGAATTAAACGACTTTCAAACATCTGCAGAGCAAACGTAGAAGATCCTAACAAACCGTGGACTCCAACAAGTTCAACAACACATCCAGACTCTTGGAGGTTTTCATCTTTTCTGCTGTGAATGGCCCAGGAGTTTCCACCAAGTCATTGTGGATATCACCAAAGTGAATATTTGTCCAAGTAGTTGGCGATTCTGACCAGAAATTTGGTTTGGTCCACCTTTTGTCGGGGTTGAAAAGGGTGATTTGTCGTCCGTCGATGTTTATGACCAATTTCTGGTCAAATGGTCTTGGATCCTCTGCTGTTAGAGTGGATAAATAACCAGGATCAATACCCTTTACGTGCTTTCTCACTCCGTCCGTCATGCTGAATTAGTTTTTTATTGCTGCCAACCAAAATAATTCCCAGCATGCAACACGCGCTTTTGTCAACAATGAAACTCGCCTATAGTTTATAGTGATTTAATCTACGTTCACACTGCAGCCTGAAGTGACACAAATCAGATTTTTCTTCCCCTATGCTCCTGTATGTGATCTTTTAATGACAGTCTGAATCACACAGATCAGATTTTTTCAAATGTGCTAAATGTCCTAAAACAGATACACATCTGATACAAACAGATACACATCTGATACAAACAGATACACATCTGATACAAACAGATACACATCTGATACAAACAGATACACATCTGATCATTTGACATGTGACTTCAGTCTGAACGTTCAGGTCACATTCATCCACCTCCACGTCAGGCTCAGAGTCTCGTCAGTGGAGGGAAAGTGAGGTTAGAGAGTTTATTCATATTTTGGGAGATCACTGTATTCAGGACAAATTGGAGGAATCTTATCAGAACCGGGCGGTTTTTGAAATGATTGTCAAAGAAATAGCAGGCGGTTCTGGCTCTAACGTCAATGAAAAAAATAAAGAGCCTGCGAGCCAAATACAAGGAGGTTAAAGACTCAGACAAACGAAGCTGCCGTGGACGTG